ACAGAGAATTCAAAAAGATAAACCAAAATTATAGAAAGCTCCTTTGAATAACTAACAGTAAGATTTGAAAAATGACATATAAGGAGCAAGCACGGATGTCTTAGTGCTATTAGATATTAATAATACTTTTTAATATTAATATGATAGTGAAAGGATAATATGTCCAGCATGTTAAACGCACATATCGAAATTTCTTCGATCATCGTATGCGGCGAATCAACCTTCCACACTTAGACCGATCCTTGAGTCCCAAATTTTTATATATATATTTATATTTCCAAAACCTCCATTAAACAATGGGGGTTTAGTGGTGGTTTTGGGAATATAAATATATATATAAAAATTTGGGACTTAAGGATCGATCTAACAAGTAACACTACCCAAATGTAAATCACCGATTTTGATAATTTTTGAACATGTTGTAGTAGACGTAAAAATAAGACATACGTATTTTTTTTTATCGGCGGAAAACCATATTTACACCCCTTTGGATTTATGGGTATCGATTTAATTGTTTTGTATGTATGGATTTAGTATTTTCGGCCCGAACCAAATAAAATAGTTGCATCATCAAGAGATATGAAAAATGAAAAATTTTCGACTCGGTTCGATCATTTTTAAGGGGTAAACCACCCCCTGTATTTGAAACAAAAATTAAAAAAAATGCCCAGATAATTGCAAATTTTATTCAAAAATTTTGAAAAAAATATATGTTACACTCGCATCCAAAACAAAAGTGAGACTGTTTGAGGATTTAAGGGTGACCACCCTTTTATCGAATTTCTTACGTAACATTTAAATTTATCCCGAAATAATGGTAAACAGTTTCATTTATCGTCAAATTAATTAATATTAACAAATTAGACTGATCAACCCTTCAATTCTATAAGGGGGTGAGGGAAAACCTACCCTTAATAAGAGTAAGAAACCAGGATCGTGGCCCTTAGCATTACCCAGGATCACGACGGGGACGTGGCCGCGTGGATCCCATTTTATTTTATTTTTTTTGG